TCATATTCACATCTGCTCATCTTCACATCTTCTCATCCTCACCCTCTCGTCTTCACATCTGCGCATCTTCACATCTTCCCATTCTCACATCTTCTCATTTTCACACCTTCTCATAAAGACATTTTCACATCTTCTCATCCTCAAATCTCCAATCTTCACATCTTCACATCCTCTCATCTTCACATCTGCTATTCTTATCCTCTCAAGTTGCTTCGAACCCCCTTGGGGACCATTTTAGAACCCAAATATGGGTTCTAAAATGGAATCTACAAGGGGGGTCTTAGAACCTAATTTGTGTTGGCCGCTATTCCGTTTTTGGGTTCTAAAATGGGTTCTGAAATGGTATCTTCCACCCTTAAAAAAATCATGAAAAACATCCAAAACTTGATATACTCGATGATGCACTCATGCGTCAAACTCTTCAACATCTTCACTTCTTGTAATGGTCCAGTGTTTCCAAATCAACTGTTGGTATTATAGACCAATGCTGAAATATCATGAAATAGCATTAAGTAGCTGTATTTCTCTGCAACGTTGTTAAGGCCTTATTTGATCTTATTTAACCTTCTGTGTATAGAGCTACATCTATGTGTTCTGAAATGGAATCCGTGGGCCACAGATGTTGAAGCACACCTTGGCACATGAAGGAAACCATTCTAGAACCCTTCCCTCCTCTCCACAAGAAAAATTGGGACATTCCAGACCAATGTGTTTCCAAATCAACTGTTGGTATTCTAGAACAATGCTGAGATATCATGAAATAGCATTAAGTAGCTGTATTTCTCTGCGACGTTGTTAAGGCCTTATTTGATCTTATTTAACCTTCTGTGTATAGAGCTAAATCTATGTGTTCTGAAATGGAATCCATGAGCCACAGATGTTGAATCACACTTTGGTACATGCAGGAAACCATTCTAGAACCCTTCCCTCCTCTCCACAAGAAAAATTGGGACATTCCAGATCAATGTGTTTCCAAATCAACTGTTGGCATTATAGACCAATGCTGAAATATCATGAAATAGCATTAAATAGCTGTATTTCTCTGCAACGTTGTTAAGGCCTTATTTGATCTTATTTGACCTTCTGCACTTTATGTAAAAATCCCCTTAATTTCAAAATTCTGCCTCGTTAATTCGGGGTGACGTCGTGACGTCGAATTAAATCGTACAGATACATCATCATATGTTTCTTATAATATATTATAAAATATATTATATTGTATTATATACAAGCTTCCAGGGTTCTACAATGCTTACGGGACCGGGGGTTCTACAATGATTTTTTTCATTCTAGAACCCTCCGTGTTTATCCCCAGGGGGGGGGCATTCTAGAACCTTCCAACTTGAGGGTATCTATTCTTCACATCTTCTCATCCTCACCTTCTTTTCTTCACATCTTCTCATCCTCACCTTCTTTTCTTCACATCTGCTGATCTTCACATCTTCTCATCCTCACATCTTCTCATGTTCACATCCTCACATCTTCATCTCCTCTCATCACCACATCTGCTCATCTTGACATCTTCTCACCTTCACATCCATTCATTTTTACATCCTCACATCTTCACATGCTCTCCTCGCCTTTTGCTTTTTGCCCTCTTGCCCTCTTGCTCTCTTGCCCTCTTGCCTTCTTGCCCTCTCCTTCTTTTGAATTTCTCTATTGAAGGCGCGGGGCAGTGCCAACGAGACGGCACGATACGTAACCCCTGTGTCTGAAAGCGGACCCCCGCAACAAAGCCTCGCAGACGTTCTGCGGAACCTTCTCCGGAACCAAAGTGAACCCCTGGAATCATCCACAGATACTACGACCCGCGGGGGTCCGGAATTTGGACCTTTCAGCCCCGAAAAGCTCAAAAAGCGGACCCCCGCAACAAAGCCTCGCAGACGTTCTGCGGAACCTTCTCTGGAACCAAAGTGAACCCCTGGAATCATCCACAGATACTACGACTCGCGGGGGTCCGGAATTTGGACCTTTCAGCCCCGAAAAAGCTCAAAAAGCGGACCCCCGCAACAAAGCCTCGCAGACGTTCTGCGGAACCTTCTCCGGAACCAAAGTGAACCCCTGGAATCATCCACAGATACTACGACCCGCGGGGGTCCGGAATTTGGACCTTTCAGCCCCCGAAAAACTCAAAAAGCGGACCCCCGCAAGTAGACAAACAACCAGCCCCCAGAACACAAACATCAGCCAGCGCCTTGACAGGTCGTGGATGTCAGTGTGCTGTGCTGAATGTTCTTCTCTTTCAGCCACCGCTGCGCGCCTTGCCGCAGAGTCTCCTCGGCCAAGAACGCATCAGTGGCCACGTGAGACCATGGCTTGCGCCGCCGCCCCCGCCGATCCTCTTGAGCAGCCATCTGCCAGAAGATTGCATCTGAGAAAAAGCCATCTGCCAGAAGAATGACATCTGAGAAAAGGATTAAACTCGATTTTAATTCTTCTGATACATGCCCAGTAGGTTGGAAACTAGAGAAGAATTAAATTCAGATTTAATCCCAATTGAATTTGATTTCCAGTCCTATTTATGAAGGGTATCATCATGTACACCGAACTGTTAAAGTCGACCAATTTAACAGAATTGTGTCAAATCTCATTGGGACGCCGTTGGATCAGGAAGTCAAATAAGTTGACCAAAAGCAAGGTCAACCCCAATGGGACGCCGATGTACGACAAACTCTGTTTTGGCAAGTTTTGCTGTGTGAAAGATGAGGAAACACCTTGCGGAAGCAACTCCCAAAACATCTTCAAAGTGGTATTAAATACAACAAAAAACACTCATGTCATATTGGGACGCCAGTGATTCACCACATGTAGATTGCAAGTGATCACAAGAAAAGCTGCTTTTACCTGTTGGATTCTGTAGGGACACGGTTAGCTGTTTTGAACGACGTCCGAACGACGTCCGAACGACGTATCGAACGACGTATCGAACGACGTATCGAACGACGTCAAAGGGTATCAAGACCCAGACCTTTGGATTCATTTGTTTTCATGTTCCTTTCATTCTCCTTTCATTTCCTCTCATTTCCTTTCATTGTCCTTTCATGCGATCATGAAAACATGGTATACACACAACCTAAATACGAAGTCACACAAAGTCGCTGGCAATGCAAAACCCACGAAAAAGTCAAAAAACTGAAAAAAAAAACTAACTTGCTAGACACAAGCTGGACGCAACATTGGTCAACTTTAGAAGTTGCGTGCGCGCAGCTGGGACGCTCATTTCATTGAAATCGTTCAACTTTAACAACTCAGTGTATCATCTATTCTACATCAATGATCATCAATGTACATTTCATGAATCATAATGATAAGATATCTGTCAATTTTTTTCGATACATCTTTCATCCTTCCCTTTTGGATACCTTTCACCGAATCCCAACCGCCCAACGGCAAGCCATCCCCGCCTCGGATGGCTCACCCCACAGGCAATGCATCCAGGGGAAGTCATCCTGTGACGCTGGGATGATCAGAAGGAAATCTCACAGAAACAAAAATTCTGCCATATTTTTTCCGTCAAATGGTGCAAGCAACAGCATCAAAGTACTGCCTTTTGACACCTCCCAAAACTGTTGTCATGGTTCTGAACATGCTTCTCCCTGCATTCCCAAGGCTACCCCTGGCTGTACAATCAGGTAGTCTCGGAGGAGACGCATTGAACAGATTTGAAAAGTCCCAAGCAGGCCCTCCTCGCAAGTTGCGAGACTGCATAGGTATGCTGGGGTCAAGAGGTGTCAATATGTCACAGGTCACAAAGCTTGCAAGGTCGTGCAAAGTGAGGTTTGCCATGCCCCATCAATCATCATCATGCCCCTTACTCGCGGGAGCAGAGACTTCGGGAAAGCCAGTCCAAACCCTCATAGAGGCCATCGCCAGTGGGAGCGACCGTGGATTGAATGAACCATTTCCGATGTCGAAGTTTCTGCAGTTCCAGCTTCTCCATGACTTCAGCAGCAGTCATTGCATTGGGCAAGTCTTGCTTGTTGGCAAGGACCAGCAGCACAGCATTCTCCATCTCCTGCTCTTGCAGCATCTTGTCCAATTCTTCCTTGGCATCTTGGATTCGGTCACGGTCAGAACTGTCCACCACATAGATCAGACCATCTGTGCCATGGAAGTAGTGGCGCCAAAGTCTGCGAATCTTGTCTTGGCCACCCACATCCCACACGTTGAATTTGATGTTCTTGTACTCCACAGTCTCAACGTTGAATCCTACCGTTGGGATTGTAGTAACCACCTCAGCCAGCTTCAAGCGGTACAGGATGGTGGTTTTGCCAGCGGCATCTAAACCAAGCATCAAAATCCGCATCTCTTTGGATCCGATCATCCGAGTCCAGATCTTGCTGAAGAGCATGCCCATGGTGCCACAAGCTGCTGGAGATCCAAACAGAGCAGTGAGGCGGTGAGGCAGGCTGCGCGACACCTACAGAGCCTTGAGAATCAAATGAGCGAAAAGCAAATCCATAATTTGTCAATCGCCAAATCTGAGTCGTGCAATCAAACAATCAGTTTTGGCATCAACATCCCCAAAAAAACAAGCAACCTTTGAAATCATCCTACTGATCGAAGATGTAAACCGCTTTGGGCTTTGAGTAAACATAGTAAATGTGAAAACAAATGACGAGTGCAAATGAGATATGCTCAATGCTGGAAGCCTTGAAAGCAAAGCCATCTGCAACTGTCAAACATCTGAGACTGCTATGGCTGATATTGCTGCTATGGCTGCTGTGGTTCTTCCATGTTCTTCCTTTTTGACACCTCCCAAAACTGTTGTCATGGTTCTGAACATGCTCCTCCCTGCATTCCCAAGGCTACCCCTGGCTGTACAATCAGGTAGTCTCGGAGGAGACGCATTGAAAAGATTTGAAAAGTCCCAAGCAGGCCCTCCTCGCAAGTTGCGAGACTGCATAGGTATGCTGGGGTCCAGAGGTGTCAATATGTCACAGGTCACAGAGCTTGCAAGGTCGTACAAAGTGAGGTTTGCCATGCCTCATCAATCGTCATCATGCCCCTTGCTCGCGGGAGCAGAGACTTCGGGAAAGCCAGTCCAAACCCTCATAGAGGCCATCGCCAGTGGGAGCGACCGTGGATTGAATGAACCATTTCCGATGTCGAAGTTTCTGCAGTTCCAGCTTCTCCATGACTTCAGCAGCAGTCATTGCATTGGGCAAGTCTTGCTTGTTGGCAAGGACCAGCAGCACAGCATTCTCCATCTCCTGCTCTTGCAGCATCTTGTCCAATTCTTCCTTGGCATCTTGGATTCGGTCACGGTCAGAACTGTCCACCACATAGATCAGACCATCTGTGCCTTGGAAGTAGTAGCGCCAAAGTCTGCGAATCTTGTCTTGGCCACCCACATCCCACACGTTGAATTTGATGTTCTTGTACTCCACAGTCTCAACGTTGAATCCTACCGTTGGGATTGTAGTAACCACCTCAGCCAGCTTCAAGCGGTACAGGATGGTGGTTTTGCCGGCGGCATCTAAACCAAGCATCAAAATCCGCATCTCTTTGGATCCGATCATCCGAGTCCAGATCTTGCTGAAGAGCATGCCCATGGTGCCACAAGCTGGAGGTCCAAACAGAGCAGTGAGGCAGTGAGGCAGGCTGCACGACACCTACAGAGCCTTGAGAATCAAATGAGCGAAAAGCAAATCCATAATTTGTCAATCGCCAAATCTGAGTCGTGCAATCAAACAATCAGTTTTGGCATCAACATCCCAAAAAAAACAAGCAACCTTTGAAATCCTCCTACTGATCGAAGATGTAAACCGCTTTGGGCTTTGAGTAAACATATTAAATGTGAAAACAAATGACGAGTGCAAATGAGATATGTTAAATGCTGGAAGCCTTGAAAGCAAAGCCGTCTGCAACTGTCAAACATCTGAGACTGCTATGGCTGATATTGCTGCTATGGCTGCTGTGGTTCTTCCATGTTCTTCCTTTTTGACACCTCCCAAAACTGTTGTCATGGTTCTGAACATGCTCCTCCCTGCATTCCCAAGGCTACCCCTGGCTGTACAATCAGGTAGTCTCGGAGGAGACGCATTGAAAAGATTTGAAAAGTCCCAAGCAGGCCCTCCTCGCAAGTTGCGAGACTGCATAGGTCTGCTGGGGTCAAGAGGTGTCAATATGTCACAGGTCACAGAGCTTGCAAGGTCGTGCAAAGTGAGGTTTGCCATGCCTCATCAATCGTCATCATGCCCCTTACTCGCGGGAGCAGAGACTTCGGGAAAGCCAGTCCAAACCCTCATAGAGGCCATCGCCAGTGGGAGCGACCGTGGATTGAATGAACCATTTCCGATGTCGAAGTTTCTGCAGTTCCAGCTTCTCCATGACTTCAGCAGCAGTCATTGCATTGGGCAAGTCTTGCTTGTTGGCAAGGACCAGCAGCACAGCATTCTCCATCTCCTGCTCTTGCAGCATCTTGTCCAATTCTTCCTTGGCATCTTGGATTCGGTCACGGTCAGAACTGTCCACCACATAGATCAGACCATCTGTGCCTTGGAAGTAGTAGCGCCAAAGTCTGCGAATCTTGTCTTGGCCACCCACATCCCACACGTTGAATTTGATGTTCTTGTACTCCACAGTCTCAACGTTGAATCCTACCGTTGGGATTGTAGTAACCACCTCAGCCAGCTTCAAGCGGTACAGGATGGTGGTTTTGCCGGCGGCATCTAAACCAAGCATCAAAATCCGCATCTCTTTGGATCCGATCATCCGAGTCCAGATCTTGCTGAAGAGCATGCCCATGGTGCCACAAGCTGCTGGATCCAAACAGAGCAGTGAGGCAGTGAGGCAGGCTGCACGACACCTACAGAGCCTTGAGAAGCCGAAAACAAATCCATAATTTGTCAATCGCCAAATCTGAGTCGTGCAATCAAACAATCAGTTTTGGCATCAACATCCAAAAAAAACAAGCAACCTTTGAAAGCCTCCTACTGATCCAAGATATAAATCACTTTGGGCTTTGAGTTAAGATATTAAAAAGATTTAAATATATTAAATATGAAAGCAAATGACGAGTGCAAATGAGATATTATGTTAAAAGCTGGAAGCCTAGAAAGCAGAGCCGTCTGCAACTGTCAAACATCTGAGACTGCTATGGCTGATATTGCTGCTATGGCTGCTGTGGTTCTTCCATGTTCTTCCTTTTTGACACCTCCCAAAACTGTTGTCATGGTTCTGAACATGCTCCTCCCTGCATTCCCAAGGCTACCCCTGGCTGTACAATCAGGTAGTCTCGGAGGAGACGCATTGAAAAGATTTGAAAAGTCCCAAGCAGGCCCTCCTCGCAAGTTGCGAGACTGCATAGGTCTGCTGGGGTCCAGAGGTGTCAATATGTCACAGGTCACAAAGCTTGCAAGGTCGTGCAAAGTGAGGTTTGCCATGTCTCATCAATCGTCATCATGCCCCTTACTCGCGGGAGCAGAGACTTCGGGAAAGCCAGTCCAAACCCTCATAGAGGCCATTGCCAGTGGGAGCGACCGTGGATTGAATGAACCATTTCCGATGTCGAAGTTTCTGCAGTTCCAGCTTCTCCATGACTTCAGCAGCAGTCATTGCATTGGGCAAGTCTTGCTTGTTGGCAAGGACCAGCAGCACAGCATTCTCCATCTCCTGCTCTTGCAGCATCTTGTCCAATTCTTCCTTGGCATCTTGGATTCGGTCACGGTCAGAACTGTCCACCACATAGATCAGACCATCTGTGCCATGGAAGTAGTGGCGCCAAAGTCTGCGAATCTTGTCTTGGCCACCCACATCCCACACGTTGAATTTGATGTTCTTGTACTCCACAGTCTCAACGTTGAATCCTACCGTTGGGATTGTAGTAACCACCTCAGCCAGCTTCAAGCGGTACAGGATGGTGGTTTTGCCGGCGGCATCTAAACCAAGCATCAAAATCCGCATCTCTTTGGATCCGATCATCCGAGTCCAGATCTTGCTGAAGAGCATGCCCATGGTGCCACAAGCTGGAGGTCCAAACAGGGCAATGAGGCAGTGAGGCAGTGAGGCAGGCTGCACGACACCTACAGAGCCTTGAGAATCAAATGAGCGAAAAGCAAATCCATAATTTGTCAATCGCCAAATCTGAGTCGTGCAATCAAACAATCAGTTTTGGCATCAACATCCCAAAAAAAACAAGCAACCTTTGAAATCCTCCTACTGATCGAAGATGTAAACCGCTTTGGGCTTTGAGTAAACATATTAAATGTGAAAACAAATGACGAGTGCAAATGAGATATGTTAAATGCTGGAAGCCTTGAAAGCAAAGCCGTCTGCAACTGCCAAACATCTGAGACTGCTATGGCTGATATTGCTGCTATGGCTGCTGTGGTTCTTCCATGTTCTTCCTTTTTGACACCTCCCAAAACTGTTGTCATGGTTCTGAACATGCTCCTCCCTGCATTCCCAAGGCTACCCCTGGCTGTACAATCAGGTAGTCTCGGAGGAGACGCATTGAAAAGATTTGAAAAGTCCCAAGCAGGCCCTCCTCGCAAGTTGCGAGACTGCATAGGTTTGCTGGGGTCAAGAGGTGTCAATATGTCACAGGTCGCAGAGCTTGCAAGGTCGTGCAAAGTGAGGTTTGCCATGCCTCATCAATCGTCATCATGCCCCTTACTCGCGGGAGCAGAGACTTCGGGAAAGCCAGTCCAAACCCTCATAGAGGCCATCGCCAGTGGGAGCGACCGTGGATTGAATGAACCATTTCCGATGTCGAAGTTTCTGCAGTTCCAGCTTCTCCATGACTTCAGCAGCAGTCATTGCATTGGGCAAGTCTTGCTTGTTGGCAAGGACCAGCAGCACAGCATTCTCCATCTCCTGCTCTTGCAGCATCTTGTCCAATTCTTCCTTGGCATCTTGGATTCGGTCACGGTCAGAACTGTCCACCACATAGATCAGACCATCTGTGCCATGGAAGTAGTGGCGCCAAAGTCTGCGAATCTTGTCTTGGCCACCCACATCCCACACGTTGAATTTGATGTTCTTGTACTCCACAGTCTCAACGTTGAATCCTACCGTTGGGATTGTAGTAACCACCTCAGCCAGCTTCAAGCGGTACAGGATGGTGGTTTTGCCGGCGGCATCTAAACCAAGCATCAAAATCCGCATCTCTTTGGATCCGATCATCCGAGTCCAGATCTTGCTGAAGAGCATGCCCATGGTGCCACAAGCTGCTAGAGGTCCAAACAGAGCAGTGAGGCAGTGAGGCAGGCTGCACGACACCTACAGAGCCTTGAGAAACAAATTTGCGAATGTGTCGACTTGACTTTATTTATCTGCGCGTTGCACACAAAACCAAGGTGTCCATATGGTCGTGTCTTGAAAATCTTGAAATGGGGGATTCACGCGCCATTCATGTCTATTTTAATGGGAAGAGTGTTCATGAAACTCTTGGATTTAGATGGATTTAGGATGATTTAGGGGGGAAAACCCTACCAGTAATGCTTCAGACCAACCTTTCAATTCCATTCTATCTTATATTTCTTCCCCAGCCTCCACATCCGTTGTCTTGGCTTCATCCTGGACGGCTGGTCACCATAAACTTGTCATCCGTTCCAACGACATTTCATGTTGATGTTGATTGATGGTGATTGACGTGTTTTCCAGTGAGGTTGAAATCCTCCGGATAAGAATGAAAGGATACGTCAATCATGGATGATCCGGATGATTGCGACTGACACGATTTTTGAGGCAAAACAGTTGGGACCCGGAGCCCGGAGTTTTGATCTTTCGATGGACACGACCCGTCCAATGATATCTGACCCACCATTGGTATGTCTGGTGTCAAAAGTTAAAAACCATGCAATTGCAAACATTGGGCACATTTTTGGGGGTGCCCAAGCATTTTGGCAATCCTAAAGTCCTGTGGTTCGAAAACGCATGTTGATGAATGTTCCAACGTGAAAACTGCCATTTTGGTGTTTGGGAACCGCCAAAAAGATCGACACGAATACAAAGAGACCTTCCAAAGTTGATCAAACTTCGGACCTATTTATCCTATTTCAGAATCGGATTTCAGATTTGGTTTTTTACATCTTCCTTGGGGGGTGCCGTGCCCAAAAATCCCACTGTTCCAAACATCAGCTCTGCCTCCAGGTCCAACGGCCATGGAATGCTCAACGCCTGGCCAAGTGACCCCATTTTGATCGAAAAAAAACTGACCCAAAAGCGGAGAAAATGAAGTGAGACCAGGTAAAATGGGATGGTTTATGTGATTGGGCAATTCATTTTCTGGATGGATGCATGGATGTTTTGGACACTTGTTTTTTTAAACAAACAGGTTCATGAGAGTGCAATTCACCACTTTGGGTCCAGAAAACGATCGGTAATGCCATGATAAGAACAATTAAACATGTTCCCTAAAAAACTTTGTTTCAAAAAATGGAGGACCAAGAATGACCAATGTTTTCTCTAGAAAATGATTTGCGTAACCCTTGCTAAAGCAGGTAATCCATATTCCCCAGGAATCACCAGAAAACATCAAATTGAGTCAATTCTGTCACCAAAAAAAACAGAAACTGACCTGTAATCCAACGCCAACGTAAGTGATGTTTTTTCTCTGCCCAAGACTTGTTGAAGATTGGTTGATAGAATCAAGGTTGGCCAAGGTCTCTATATGTTTTTCGGTTTGACATGTGTGTTGCCATGTGTTGCCAAACGGTTCAAGAAAATGCAGCTGTTAATCAATTTGTGTTTCTACAAAATAAATCAACATGCCTTGGTATAAAAAAAAAATAACTTGCGATTTGGGGGGTAACTCAAATGATCCTAATGTGCGAGACTGAAAATAAACGGAACCGCCACAAGTCACAAGCCTGGAAAACGAAAAAAAAAGATAAAGATCGATGCCTGTTCTGCACGCGCAATTTTTCAAGAAAATAGTCACATGGAAGTGCAACTCACGATCAACACACCACTTGTGGTTTAGAAAATAACCAAGAATAGCATGAAGCTGCATCATTCAAAAAACCACAGAAATATGTTTCAAAATTCAAGACATAAAATAAGTAATGCTTTCCCTAGAAAATGAACTGCCTAACCCTTCCTGAAACCGGCACCCACTATATTCCCCAGGAATCGCCAGAAAACATTTGTCCTCCATGAACTAAAAACCCACTTCAAAAAAACCTGATCCAAGGAATCCCCCCCAAAAAAATTATGTCATCAACCCTTTCATGTTCAGGTTTTTCTAGGCAAAAATTGAATGAGCCAAGGGTTTCAAAAAATGCTAGTGTCTCTGTTTGGCTTACACTTAATTCAAACAATATTGCACATTAGCACTCCAAGATTTTGGCACTTTCGAGTGAACCCTGAAGTTCCGTCTGCACAATGTTGGAATAGAAAGTTAAAAAAAAAAACATATCATCACATTTCAACAAGAATTCGATAAGTTATGGTGAATTTATATCTGTTTTCTGGATACCCCAAATCGTCTAGAAAATGCCTAGCACAATCAATTTGGCTCCTGATAACAAACTAGCAACTGTCTAGAACATGACTTGATATAGAAGGATCAACTTGGCCCTTGGTGTGGGTTTTTTTAAGCATTCCCGAGGAATGACTCAGGAAGCATGCGAACAAAAGTTCGATTATTTCTCTTTTTTTTCCAGCCCTTATCTCTTTAGGAAATGATCAGATACATTTACATCATCGAAACATTGGTCGACTGAAAGACCTCATCGAAATTCCCCAGGAATTCCCCAGAAAAATGTGGGAAATTAACCAGGTTTACCGATCCTATCTAGAAAATGAGGGTCACTTGAGTGACCCCATTCCCTAGGGGAAATGGCCATGGGGATATAAAAACTATGAAATATTCATGACGTATCTGTAGATAAATGGAAAATCAATGAAAATCAAGAGAGAAACTCTAAACTTTGCAGAGCTACTTGTAGAGTTAGAAACAAAAGAGAGGCGAGAATTGTCCAGTGCCATGTTGGTTGAGATTTTCCGGTGTTGAGAATTCCTCTGTGGGTCTCGGGTTGGTGGGAATGAAACCCTGTAACCCTTGCGGCTGTTGGGTTGCAAAGTTGGTTTTTGTTCTGGATGATGAGCTTTCATGGGGCGGGACGCTTGGCACATAAAATTGGTCGATGAGGGCCGTAAAACTGGGATACAGCCATATATTTCTGATGGCCATTCTTGGATATCAAACAACAACTGATAATAAGTTATATAGGTATATGCTAACTCCCCGCAATCTGGCGGTGGGTCAAGCGAACATAGCTGCAAAGGAACCTGGAAAGTGTACGGTCGATATGTCCAGCCCCAAGCAATGGATGTCAAGCCCCTGAAGAGCAAATATCATGGTTAGGTGGATCACACGTTTGCTCGCTCCAACATGCTCCAACTGGTCATCCACATAATCCATCATAATCCCAGTGTGCAACATCAAATCTCCAGAAATCTCCTGAATATCGGTCAAATTGATATGGAAAAAATATGGAAAAATCATGCCTTTCCCAAATGGCTGGTGATCCTGCCTCACAGCGACCCTCTGTGAGACGATAGCTCCCAGGGTCCCTCCCTAGCTCGGGTGACGAGGACCTGCAAGGCCGCAAGGCGGGCAGTTCGATGGATATGTTTGATTTGTACAGTATAATTACTATAATAATAATCTATAATATGCATGTGCGGATGTGCGTGTTTTTGTAAACTTAGCACACTCAGCTCCTGTTTTTTGTGTTCAGTTTGCTGAAGCTCTCAAGAAATCACAATAGATGGATATGAGAGAGCAATGTGAAAACTCTGAATGAATCCTTGATCGCTCTGTTCCATTCTGTTCCTAAGTATATATATATATACCTGAGAAGAGGGGACGAAAGCCAGGGTCAAGTTTGAACGGGGACAGGAGAGTGGAGAGCATGGGAGGGAGTGCGGCGGGGGGTTGGTGGGGGCATCGGGGGAGGGGCGGAGGGGCCGGTGGGGTGAGGCTGTGTTGGGTGTGGGTGCGGGGAGCCCTTGGAGAGAAGGAAGGAATGTGTAGGAAGAAGGAGCGGAGGGAAGAAGTGTGGGAAAGGTCGGGAAGGATGAAGAGAGCGTAGGAGGAAGTGGAACGGGGGGCTCGTTTCAAGAGCGGACGGGGCGCAAAGGAGCCCGGAAGGGGAGAGGACGCGTCGGCGGCAGGGAAGGCAAGGAAGAAGGGGAAGCGGGCGCCTGTGGAGAAAGAAACTCCGTGGTGTGTTTGAGAAATGAAGGGAAGGCGGGCGGGTGCTCCGTACTCGACACTTTAGTGTGTAGACTGGACAATATACACTTCAGAGTCCACAGTCGACACTTGACAGACTAGACTGTACTACACTTTAGAGCCCTCACGCCTCACTGCACATTTGACACGCTGTACTCCACACTTTACACTGCACACTCTACATTTGACACGCTACACTGGACACTCTACACTCTACACTCCAGACTCTACACTTGCCACTGTACACCCTTCACTTCACATTTTGCCCTCTACACGTTACACTCTACGTTGTACACTTGACACACTTTACGCCTGACACGCCACACACTGTACACTTGACACACTGCACTTTACACTCTACACTTTACACTCCACACTCGACGCTCGACACTGTACACACTAGACTTTACACTCGACACTCTGCACTCTACACTCCATACCGTACACGTTGCACTTTACATTTTATATTCCTGTCCTACCGCCGGGCATCAGCACCCATCGGCAACTTGCCCCCCCCTTCCCAGCGGGCCCCCTTGCTTCGGAGCAGCTACTTAAAAGAGTATCACTCCAAATGGCATCCCCAAGCCACGCCCTTTCTTCCTTCCAATCGAACCATGTGTACCGCCAGTACTGTTTGCTGCTTGTACCAAGCATACCATGTCTATCCATGTCTCATGTCCTGCGCATGGCAACAAGCTCCCTATATGTTCGCTGAAGTTTCGTGATGATATCTGTGGACAATTTCTATCGTGAGATCATTGCGAGACATTGCGCTTGGGTGAGACTTCAAAGGCTAAAGTTGTATCGACAGCTTGCACCCTAGGTGCAGAGCTCTTGGTATTGCCTCTTGGCACCGTCGGGCTGAAATGGGGTAAAGGTTTTAACTCGCTATCTCTAAAAGGAATTTAATCTATGTACCTTTGCCGTGCCACATTTTTTGGACTTCTTGAGTTGTCAACAAATATGGAATCATCGAGTCTGTTTCGAAAAACCAAGGATCTGAATGGTCTTCACAAAGCCGAAGGGTACAATTTGTGTGTGGTATTACAATGGTATACGGCGCTGCGTCTGAAAAAGTGAAAAATGTCCACCGAGCCATCGTCGTGAAGCCAAAAAAGTCCATCACAGTCTAAAACGGTAAATCATGCCGTAAACTCAAAACAGTTGATTGCAATGGCGTTGAGGTTTCACTTGACGACTTGAAAGACTTGCATAACAATTCGCACTTCACTCCCTGTCCCCATTCGCTTTCTCTCCTCCAATGGTTCCCTTTTTCCCCACATCTTCTGCTCTGACTTCATTCCGACAAGTACCTTCACCTTGCCTGGCTTCCACACTTTACACTCCACGCTCCACACTTTACACTCTACACTGTACACTTTACAACCCAGCCTCCACACTCCACACTCCACACTTTACACACTAGACTTTACACTCTACGCTTTACACTCCACACCGCGCACTCTACACTTTACACACTCCACTTGACACTTTACCCTCTTCCCTCTACACACCATACTTTATAATCTTTATACCTTGCACGTTACACTTCACACTCCATACTTTACACCCCATACTCTACACTTTGCACTCTACACTTTACACTCTACACTCTACACTCTACGCTTTACACACTACACTCTACACTCTACACTTACACTCCACACTCTACACTTTAAACTTTACACTTGACACTCTACACTCCCACACCTTACACCCTTCACCCTGCGGGCTCCTTTGCTTCCCAACAGCTACCTAAAAGAGCCTCACTCCACATTGCCTGCCCACGCCCCAAAGAGCCCGCCCAAGCCACCCTCTTGGCCCTCCAACTTTCCACCCATCGTACACCCCGCCCCAAAACTTCAATCCGTCCCCTTTGTTTTTTCCTTCCATTCCCTCTCTTCTTCCATTACTCTTTCCACGTTTTTCCATTGTTCTGTTCTGCTTTGACTCCATTTTTGCATCCTTTTACCCTCCATTCCACTCACCCCAAATGCACGTCAGAGGACGGACCAGGGGGGAATCGAACCCCACCGTCACCCAATTGCCACCTGGTACATGAGCCGCAAAATCGACCACGGTGGCCACCCTAATTAGGTGGGGAAAAGCGTCAAATGCGTCTGTTTGGAGACGACCGCCCCCCAGACCCCCTATTCTCACTTCGTTCGCAATGACCAACTTCGCCATGCTTGACAGCTGGCTTTCGTAATATATTACAAGCATTCCATTATTTCAATTTCATCATGCAAAATGAATTGATCATTGAACATGGGTTGCTCTGAAGGGTAGCCGATTTTAAGAGAATCCAAAAAGAATCCATCATCATCTGCCAACCATCAGTGGAACCGACCCTTGCGGGCGCCTGCTACTTGATGTCACAAAGCTGCTAGACAGCTCCTGGCGGCTTCGGGTGTCACAACCCTTCGGATCCTTCGACAAATTGCGATGGTTGATTTCCACTGGGCACACGAAAGTAACCCAAGGGTCGAAAACCGGAAAGCTGGATTGTGGATGATTGTGCTGAGGACTTTTCTTGCTTTGATGGATTGTTCACCAGGTACACTTTGAGCGTCTCTAATTTCGGAAATCGCAAACGGTAGTGCTCAGTCACAACTGGTGGTGAAATATTGAAAGTCCAAGAACAGCCCCAATCCCCAGCATCCCACAGACAGAACTGAGACGCTCCTGAGACGAGGGAGGAGTGGTGGCCGCAAAAGATGCTTCCTGCCAAGTGACAAGACAAAGGCCTGTAAGCTGCATCTTCTACAGCGCACTTTGTACATCTGGCCTATGTTCAAAATATGATGCGGTGACATTCGCATTGAAGCTGAAAGCATGTTGTTTGGTCTGAATTTACCCAAAACCCAGTGGTTTATCATGGTTTATAATCATTTATAATTATGTTCTCTATTCACATGCCATTTTGGGGGTGTACCACATTTTCAGACACAGCCATTCCCAGCATGGCCCAAAAAACACCCCCAGTTTGAAGCCGGTCCTTCTTGGCAGGAGACACCAGACCTGTGCGCTGGCGGTGGTTCATGTGGTTGGTATCATCAAACAGGCAAACAGGGCTAGATCGCAGCCACTATCAGCCACTGGATGATTATAAAGTGATTTCCCAACTAATTATTTGGCAATTTTATTCAGACACTATCAACCACTATCAGCCACTATCAGCCACTCATATGTCCCCCTGATGATTTCCCAACTCATCAAGTCACACCTTCAATCAGCGCAGGTCGCACTCCATCCCTGGCCCAGCGAGATGCCATATGCCATGCGGAACCAGTCAGAATCTGGTCGTTTTAGATGGCTCGGCTCTGTTTGAACATGAGGCATATGCGGCATACCATATACCAGTAAGTATATGGTGTTTGGGTCATGTTAGTTGATGATAGTTGATGTATGATGTATACCTTTTTTAAAAAGAAATCCAGATCAATTTCAGATGGTGCAATTTGTATACTGTGTATAGCTAGGCGATATCACACTTTTCATCCAGGATTTCAAGGTTAGAAGGGTGCCGGCGCCAGGATCTTTTTTTTCCCCTCCATGTTGGCGCTCCTGTGTTTAGCCAGGCACATTGAAGGGCAGGGTTTCCCCCCTGACTCAGGTTGGACGGGTGAAAACCCTCAGGGTCAACCATCCGCCTCCGTGTCGAAGCAACCACGACAACTGGAAGAGGTGCGACCATGGTCGGTCAGGAGCAGATGTCAATTCTTTTCTTTTGACGGATGTAGATTCAAACAAAAGAAGCACAGAAACGGGCGCACGGAAGCGGATCTTTTGGTCGACAAAAGACAGCATGTGGAATGAGCAGGGCTGCCAAAAACCAACATCAAACCAACATCAAAACCACACACGGAATCACCTTCTCTTGTGCTCATTTGATTTTTTGCTACCGTTGCGAGTTGGCACAGCCGAGGCAGTGAAACACATCGGTCCCATGATGTGGTGATGTAGACCCCAAGGTCAAGCCTTTCAAGAAGCGAAGAATTATGTGGGGCGCATGGGATGCATGGGGTTGACAGCACTCCGGACTTTGCAATCGATGTGACATGGAAGGAACACAAAATATATCAAACTGGATTCATTAGGTGATATATGGATATATATGGTGCATATATGGTGCATATCATGAAATGTTTTGGTGTATTTTTCCAAATTGAAAACCCTGTCAAAGCATGTCTCAACAGCGCCATGGTGTGAAAAAAAATCCCTGGAGATGGGCATCCCAAATAGCCATCACAATGATGATACCAAAGTGGCCCTCACGGTAGCATACGGTAGCACCTGCAATTAGCATAATTGGCCATGAATAGGGGATAATAGGGGTCAAATGTCTAGAGTCTAAAAAAATCTAACAATATAAAATATTATAAAATCATAGTCAAAACATGTCAAAACCGAAATTTTAGAGTCCCCCCTATGGCATTCTGCAAACAGACCCTCGGTGAGCTACCGCGTTGCTGCTTAAGGCCCTCACCACATCAGTTGCCACTGCCAGCCTGAGGTTTTTTTCAGTCGCAGTTGGTGCACCCTGACAACGACATCACAATCCATGCCCGCCTCACCAATGAAAACAGCCTCTTGTCGAAAGAAATCTTCCAACTTTTCCAACTCATCGTAGAATTCGTTGTTCTTCGCCTGATTTTGTCGTCACACCAAAACTCCCAAGGTGCATGTCGCAAATGCATGCAAAGTCATGCAAATGCGGGATAAAATCTCTCCATTGAGTTGAGGTGATGTTTGTGTTGACATATCCACCATAACTGAGGCTCCCGGATGTGTTTCTGTGGACCCAGAGATCGATGTTCCCACTCTTTTTGTTTTGTTTTATGGTTAATGCTGAAAATTCACACAGAATCAAATCAAACACTGCCCTCCCTCACAATCCATACAATACGGATGTATAATATTGTGTGTATATAAAATTATATAAAATACATACGAGTAGTATTTAATTAACATGATATTGTAATTAATTATTTCAATATATTTTAAAAACGATTATAAATGTATGTTGACTATTGTTGACTATCCTTTGTGCCACCTTTCAAACCATCTTGGGCAACACCATGCAACGTCCCCAGAAATAACTGTCGGCACCTTGCCACGACGCCCTCCTCGACCCCGCGGAGGGGCATGCCTGGCAGATTGGCTGGCACTGATAAATGTGGGGAATACATTGGGGATTTAATGGCGATTTCATGGGGGTTTAAGGGGACCCCCAAAAAAAACACCAAAATTTCTTCAAATTTCAAGATCCCAACTTCCGATGTTGCCTCAGCGGGACGCCGGCGCCGGACACCGCGGCCACGGGCAGGGGCACCGTGGGCCCCATGGCTGCGACGCTGACGAAGTTGCGCTTCTCGGTATCTGTCGGGCTGCTCCAAAATCCAATGGGCGACCTGAGAGATGGGGATACATTGATGGAATTTCATGCAGTAGTGGATGATCAGTGGGATATGAATGGGATATGTGAAAAAAAATTCCGGCAAGAGACCCCAAACAGTGTGGGGGGAAGTAAGAGAATAATATACTTTAATGTTGTCGATGATGATGGTGAGGATGATGATATGAAATGAAAAGGTCTCTGCCATTGTAGTTTGTCGCTGACCGGGACATGCTGAACAACCGTCTTTGAAGTTACACGCTCGAGAACATTTACATAATGGCAACATGTCTTTACCCCCAGACGCAGCAGCAACTGCGGACATCTGCGGACAACTTGTTTTAACTGTGGACAGCGGGTTGCGGTCAGCGATGACGGTGCCAGGGCAACGATCGACAACGGAGCGCGCAACCGCAGCTCATCATGTATAGATGATGGATTCCGATCCACTCAGCGACCTTGGCGCGCAACAGCAGCCGGCAGCGACGCTTGCAGTCGACGCGTCCAAGGAACACGGCCGCGACCACGCACAAAGTCCGCTTACTTGGCCATTCGTGGAACTCGTCACGGACGGAACACCGTCCTCACTTCGCTTCATCAGCACGAACGCGGTGGTCGTGGCGCGAAACCGCAGTCCACGTAAGTTTTTGAACATCTTCATCAGCAGAATCGGAAGCGGCGCAGCTTGCTTTGCCGAGAACGGCAATTGCGCACACCACCACATTGTGGACATTGGAAAGTTTCTTTAAGTGGCTCCAACTTGGCAAAGCAAAGGCATAACACGCAGTCTTCGATCGTGACAGAGATTGTCAGGTGTGCCTTCGGAAGCTGCCGCGTAATTTTAATGACGCCCAGCTCCCGACCACCATACGCCCGAAGCTGGCTCCCGGTGTCGAGGTAATCTTGAGGAAGCCATGGACCGGGCCAGGTATTGTCCACCCACTGCAGAAGAGGACTGCGGACGGCGTCCATCCCTTGCTGGTCAGGCGAGGCGCGGTTGCAAAGGTGCAGCACCGTGACTGGCGGCTCGATGTCGGAGCCAGCAACAGCGCATTGATGGATCCAGCTGCTGCACTCGATGGCTCCGCCACTGCTGCAGATCCGATGCACCTGCCGCTGGTGAGACGTTTGCGCCTTCTTCGGAGAGCGAAACTGCAGCAGGGACACCATGCAGCCGCAGGGCCGATTACTGTAAAGCCTCTGCTACTGGTGCTGCGCTGCAACTTCTTGAAGATATCTGCATGCAGCACGAAGATCTGTTCTGAGTGCTGCGATCCATGTGCTCCTGGCCTGTGCCGTCCCTTCGCGGCACGCCCGATCAGCTGCAACCTCCCGGCAACGAACTTGGCTCACACAGTGCGTCAACAAGCTTGTCTTGCAGCAATCTTCGTAGGGTCTCTGTTCGCAGATGCTGCCTGTTCGGCTGGGGGTTGCCCCCTGCGTTCCTACAAGCTTTCCGTAAGGCTGTATAGCATCAATAGACCATGGAGCATATCTCTTGCCCGCGCAGCCGCAGGGCCGCTTCATTGGCAGTAGCCCAGATGCTCGAGGTCCGCTCTAAGCGTGGCCCCCGCACTGGACAGCAACACGGACAAAGTCTGCTCACCTGTCTCCGCGGTGTCACGCGCAGCCGCAGGGACACTGGATCGAGCTGCTGCACTATGACCACCTGTCTCCGCTGTGTCAGGTTGTGTTGCCATGGCTAGAGCCGCAGGGACGTGTGATGCAAAGTGATCAAGCACCGGCCTTTACACTTACCGTAAGAATCCCTCAGTGTGGACACACTGTTTGGGGAAAACACCAAGATGTCTTGGATGTGTCTGAAAATAGGGTATAAGCCCCCAATGGGTATTAGGGACACTTGTGGAAACTGATGATTAACCTGTGGATCTTGGAGTACCTTATTGCCTTATTTCACAAAGACCCAAATAATGACTGGTACTACATGTCCTCATTCTCCTCATGGACCAAAACACACCAAGGAGCCCCATGCATCCCCATTACCCAAGGAGTCATCCCCCCAGATTGCCTCACTGCTTCGGTGGTTTCTGCATGCACCGCGGCTTCCTCTGGCACCTCATCACCGAAACGGCGCTTGGGCTCCGCATTCAGTGCGGAGCTCTTCGCGCAGCACACGCAGAAACGCAGGGAAAAGAACCTGGGCCACGGTGCTGGCGACATTTTTTTGTTTTTAGATGGTGAAAAGGTGGTGGAACTTCGAAACAATTTTTAATGCAGGTTTATGTTATATATCAATGATGAAACGATATAGTTGCAGGATTGAGATTAAAATGACTGATTTTCTGAAGCAACTGATGATGAAAAGCAGTTGCTGATGGGATTGATAGAACCAACAATATAAACATATCAAATGTCGATAGTGGGAATACAGAAACAGCAAGCAAAAAAATGATATAGAAAAAGTATGAAAAAGTGCGCCAAGGGGTACGCCCAAAGAACATACAGTAGGCACTTCTTTGAAGTCATGTGGGATGAGTCTGTCAGAAACTGCCTGTACTTACTTTAAATACCTAGGAGACCCTAGGAGTAGAATCAATGCACAACCATAACTGCGAAGAAGTCCCTCAAGAAATTGCATTTAACTAAAGAACAAGTTCCTGAAACACCTCCAGCATCCACCATCTACATCTCTTAAATCCAAGTAGCAAGCATTGGAAAAAGCAGCCCAGGATCCAAAAAATGCCTGCTGACAGTTGAGCCAGCTGTGTTTCTTCCACTGGATCTCTGGTTTCAAACGGTGTCCCTGGTGGTGGTGCAAAAGGTGAAGGTGCACTGCTCTTGCCTGGGGAACTGGTTTTTTTTGACACAGGAGGCTTCTCGGAAAATGTGGCGCCCTCTGGCGACGCCTCCGGCAGGTCACTCTCCCGCTCGATGCTGGGCATTGGCTCTGGTGCCTCTGGGGCCGCTGCGGCCGCTGGGGCCGCTGGGGCGTCCAGAGTGGCATCAAGGTCATCCTGCGGGTCAGGTTCAGCTGGCTTGGTGTCACAGTCATCAGTTGGAATCCCTGGAAGCTCATCGGGCTCCAGTGAAATGTCCACATGGTGTTTCTGGATGAACGTCTTGGTACGTTCTTTGATTCTATCTGAGTTGGAGCTTGCCAAAAGTGTCAGGGCCCGATCACGCACAGCCTCAGCGTCCGTCCCACCCCCTTTGGGGCGCTCAGATCCCCGTCCCTGGCGCCGTCGTTTCGGTCCGTCTTCGCGAGTGTTCCTGGGTGATGCGGCCGGTGCTGCTAGGAGGGTCAGCGCCCGTTCACGCACGGCCTCCCATTTCTTCCTGGTCACGACCTGGCGGTCGCTGGCTTTTGTCTCCGGTGTGGCCCGTGGCTTTGGCATCTCTTTGCTGCCTTGTCTGGGCGATGCTGCTGGCTGCTCGGCACTTTGCTCAGAGGCAGCTGGTGCCACTGGTGCACCTGGTGCGGCTGGTACCTTTGGCACTTCTGTACCCGAGGTCCTACGACCTCGTGGGTCATGTTTGAAGCCAGCTGTTGCCCCAGGGATTCGGGTAGTACTGGAACTGGCATGACTGGCATGAGTGGGATGAGTGGCATGGCTCACAGGATGCGCAGCTGGTGTGAAGCCGGCGCAGCCAGGTCGCATAGGATGGGCCTTGGGTGGGACCATTGGCGGAACCCCCATGGGTGCGTAGGCAGGTCCGGCCGCCTTGCCCGTGCCCTCACGAGGCAGCACATGGGTTACTTTCCGCATCTCAGGCCGAAAATTCATGCTGACAGAGCCAGAATGTGAAATGAAATTTGTCTGCAAAGTTCAGCCAACTTTCTGGACACAGTGGATATCAGGTGGAGATGTTCTTGTCTTCAGGCCCAGTTCTGATTTTAGTTCTGCTTGCCATTGAGTATGACTCAGAATGTGTTGGGCTCTGATACACTTCATTTGGGCTTCAATTTGAAACTCATAGCTGCGTTGCACACAGCAACTGTCAGAGAACAAAGAACCAGTCACTAGAACAACCACATGTGCTGAAGAAAAACCACCTCAGAGTTTGTGGAAATGATTCAACATGTTTTCCGCAAAAAGCTGATTGGAAGTGATTGGAATCATAAAATTCCGAGGCTTCCAAGAAGGCCAGATGAACTCGAGGCGTTGCCGCTGCCTGTGCACAAGGGGCGACTGGAGCTTTGCAGCTTACCAGTATATCATAGTATATCTCTATAGCTCATCTATGGCTCAAGACACCCTGTAGTTCACACCAAAATAGCTGGGATTTATGGATGATCATCCCCCAGAAACAGTGGCAGCAGTGGCACCTTTCAATTTTTTGCAACAGCTCCAGGTCAATCGGCATTGCTCCAAGCCATCGAAGAGGCTCTGCCCAGCCGCTCCGTATTATCAGCCGCAAAAGCTGATCAGAGCTGTATATATCAAGCGTCTTCTTTTAGTTGTGTTGAATATTGGTGAAATAATATATAATAATATCATACATCGTGCATTGTTTGTTGGTGAGATACACCCCACTTTTCCGGTGAAAACTGTCACTTTCTCTCTCTCTCTCTCTCTCTCTCTCTTGGTGCCATCTTTCTCTTGGTCCTATCTTTCTCTTGATCCCTGGGCAGCAAGCGGCAAACTAGACAGGCCAATATCATTCTGCGCATGTGACAAAACTCCTGCCCATCCAACACTTCCACACATTCAAAGCCAACCCGGAATGGATCTGACTCAAACAATACATTCAACGGATTGGTTTCAATTAAAGAACACTTTTGAAAGATCATATTAGTAGATATTAGTAGTGGTTTTTACTCCCAAATATTTACATGGTCTGCCTTTAAAGAAAGGCCCACTACCCTAGGGTCACCATGCGGTGTCAGTGTCGGAGCCAGGTCCATGCAGGACTCCTATTGGAAAACCCAGAATGGTGAGGCCCTCTTGTAATCAAACATGGCTCCCCTATTAAATAGTGATGTTAATGGGAAAAAATGGGAAAATCATGAAACTAAATGGTGGATTTTCCCGATTTAGCCATGTTTGAGTACCGGATGGTATCCATTTCTGGGTATCTATGGAGATAAATGGTGTTTTGAATGGTTGTTGTCAATGGGAAAAAACAGATGAAACGACACCTGAGACGCAAAAGATACTACTTGCCGAAAAGTGATATTATAGAGACAACTCGAAGTATATTGAATTAAGATCTGAATAGCTATGATATGAATGTCATGGTCACAAGGGTTGCCATTGCCGTTCAACTTCTCCTCCCACAATGCTGCTGCTGCCATCGGAGTGATCGCAGCCTTCTCCACACCAGGAGGAGCGTCATCCTCCACCAGATCCTATGAGGCTTCACTGAATGGGGATTGGATTGGGTGGTTCAAGGCGAAAACGAGATGTCTTTGCAGTTGCTGATCCTATATATATAACTTTTCACAGCCTGGTCCACTGGTCGAAATGGAATTGGCAGTGTGGGACTCATGGAACTTCTGAAACGTTTGTCAGACTGGCGCAGCTTGAATTCTTGTCACATGGAGAGTATGCTTTAAGAAAAGCCAACATGAAAGAAAAGAATGTAAATATAGTCAGAGCCCTTGCATGCACCCACAGCTGTGGTGACTTGATGATTTTGCGACCGAATGACAACATGAGTAAGCTACTTAGTCTTCTTATGTCTCCTTGTGCTGGTCTGCAAACTGGCACCCCCCAACATCAGTATGCATAGCAGTTTTGCCCCCCTTGCCATCTGCAAAGGTAAGGAGTGCATGAAGGGAACCACAACAGCGGAGTTCCAAATGGAAGTAGAATTCTAGGTGGAACCAGCGGTGTATAGTGACATGGCGTCATTTTTGTCTAAGTGTTATAATTATGAATATATGTATATATGTAAATTATATGTATAAGTACGTTCCCCCATCATACGTACAATATGAAAGGCTGTATGAATGCACATTAAATACATGAATGTGAAAAGGAAAATATGAAGCAAACCTAATCATAGTCACCATCCGCGATGGAGGTTGTGAAAATTGGGTACACCCCGTTTTTGAGGATAATTTTATTTCATAGCCATATATTGTGGTTGATGATTGGCAAAAATCCATTATATCCCCAATATGTCTGGGTTCATTTTGGAGTTTACCTACGAAAATCCTAGTAGCAATCCCTTTGTCGATCCCAATTATTGTTGGGTTTACCATCCCCCCAACTAACTTACTGTAGACCCTGTCAGTTTTGGGGGTTGGAAGACTACTTTCCTTACAAATGTGAGTGGGAGGGATGGTGTGTGCCATGGTGCAACTATATGGGCGTGCACTCTGCAAGGGCGAGGGGCTCACTTTGGGCATAAGTATTATATAAGCTAAAATGTCAATTTTCATAGGGAGAATGATGATAATCCATCGAATTTTCCATTGGAATTGGATTGATCATCCATTAGATGATGATAATCCATTGATAACCCAATAACGATAACCCATTGGAATTGGGAGTTTTTCACCCAAATTCTTCAGGCCAAGCCAGTCCCCTGGCGCTTGCGCGCCGCGCTTGCGCGCTTCTCCTCTTCAGCTCGGGCCAAGAGTTGGTTCCAACCGATCCCACGCGAGGCCTCGAGGCCAAGGTATACGACAGCGTTGATGAAGGATGATGAAGGATGATGAATGATGAACGAGGTTGTGGATGAATATTGGTTAATTAATGAATGTATAATGAGTGATTTTGAAGTTATTATATCGTATGTATATCTCTGTGTCCCCATGGCGTCTGTTCAGATGACTGCGTTTACACGCAAGTCAAACCTAAAACTTACTGGAAAAAAACTGAAAAAAAAAACAGATAAAATAATCATGTTCATTGACAATTGTTGATAGCCGTAAAGTATAACATAACACCAGATGAAATATGTGTGGGATATTTGGTTGATATTGGTGGTAAAAGGCGCCGATTGTTGAGATGTCCTGCGCCAGAGCCGTGGCCATTTCCATGGCATCCTCCAGCTGCATGATGCCTTGCTTCGGTCCCGAAACTGTCATGGCCTTGAAAAGTTGGTTGAATGGTATGGAAAATAGTGGTTTTTGTGGGTCTTATATGGTTTTATTGTATCCTGTTAATGGTGTTCTAATATATCCTGTTAATCCTTTGGATAGTTGCTGAATTGATAGTCTGAAAAAAATACCGGTTTGAAATTTTGAAACAAGAAAAAACATCTGTGTATGTGTCCATGAACAGGCAGACCAGCTGTGATACAGAGGAACCCAAAGATTCGCAGCTAAGGTTGAGTATTAATGTAATGCAATATTACCTGGTACAGTATCTCGTTCCCAGTTTGTCTGGTTTAATTAGTTCGCTCCCTGATTCTTGCTGTTGTCACTTCCTTTTGTCTTGCTTAGATTCCCAAAAAAAATGTCGGTAGGGGACCAGACTACATCAAACTCGCTTGATTGGACAGCAGAGTCTGGGATTCATTAAGGATCAAAGCATAGCCTGATTAAAAACTGGAAGGACTACCCTGATGGTCTTTGAAGCGTTCGAACCGGAAAAGAAAAGATTATATACAGTATAATTCTAGTCCGTACAACCAGAGATAAGACCCATACTGTGCCCTTCACACTTCAAAGGCGAGGAAAATGTATGGTTTGTAAAGGATAAATTACAAGCGACCCTTGTTTTCAACCTTAAAAAATTGGTGGGTTCCCGTCAATGTTCCCTCTTTCCAATACTGGGACCGATGGGCAGCAGCAACTTTTTTGGTTTCCAGAGTTGCCGTCTCCAACCAAAACGCCACCGCTGCGTTACCAGCTACACATCATGCGCAACAGGCCTTTCCAATCTCATTTGGGTCCTATGACTCCGTTGCAAGGTTGAGCTGCTGCTTCAAGTAAGTGTTTTTTCAAGGTTGGAAGACTCGATATGTGCAGAAAGTGATAGGATTGATGCATCAGTTCTATCTGTTTTAATAGTTGGTGAAGAAAGGTACAGTAGTATATGGTAGTTCTGCAGACAATCCCACAGCAGTGATCGATCAAACAAAGCGAAGGTAGTACCAGGGTTGAAACTTGCTTGTGTAACTTCGCAGCCAAGTGATCCAGGTGCATCATTTGTAAATGATCAATGATCACACTTAGAGACTAACAAACACTACAGCATTGTTTAATGCGGATTCGTCCGCTGCAAGTCTTCAAACAACCATGGACCTCTTAGGCCTGTTGCCTGCCGGGTAAATGTCCAAGTGATAAGCTCACGGCAACCAACGGAACCCGTGAGCGGCTTCAAAAAGATATCAGACAGAGATTTGAAGCTGTTGGAGTTGTTTGCTCAGGTTCAACTGAAGCCGAACGAGTTCGAATCAAGCCAAGGGATATTGGAAAGAAACAGCAAGTATCTCCGATGCGTGTAGGTATGTGTATATATATATACACATATTATTATCGTATATCAGTATATATAATATATACATGTATTTATCTCTATATATATATAATATGTCTATATATATATAATATGTATATATATATATGAAACATTGGTGAAATCATAAATTCTGACATGTTCTGACTCTTTAGTTTACGTCTTGGTGGTGGCTGAACTCGCGGAACAGCACACACCAAAGAACTCTACCTGCGCATCGCTCACTTCTCTCCTGCAGCCGGAGCAGGTGGTGCCATGAAGCTTGGTTAAATGTCTCAAACCAAAAAAAATAACAATATGAATTGGCTTCCTACTAAATGACTAGGAGATAGACCACTTATGAAATGGGCCCACTGAATGCTGCGTTATTG